TGGCGTGTTACCATACCCCCTGGTCCGCGCACAAACGACCAGTATTTCATACAATAAGAAAGAGGATGGCTCTGATCCCACTGAGTGGGATTGTCATAGAGGCCACGTTAAGAAGAACCCATTACAGGCTTACTCTGTCTTGAGAAGAGGATTGAATAGTCCTGTCAACTGACAGGCTTCCAAACTAAGGTCATCGGCGCACCATGGTAGCTTTTCAAGTGCGTCAGACTGTTCATAGTAAGAAATATAAGCTAAGTGATGTCGACCTCGCTCTATCTTCTCTCCCTCCACCGCGCACCAGTCGATAGTCCGAGCCGGTCTACAGAAGGAAGGCGCAGTGACTGCCACCGTTAGACATCCTATCTATGTGTGCCAGACACACAACCTGGCCCCCTGCACAACACACCAGGATTTCACACGACTGGGGTCGGATGCTCGGGTCTCACATGCATGAGCGTACCATAAAAGCCACATTAAGAGGAAGTTTGCCAGAGGCTTAAGCGAATTCCTCCTTTGACGAGACACACTTCAAGGAACAATGAATGTGTGAGGCTGAAGATCACACCACCTAGGCAGATCACTAGCACATGATGGTTTTCACTAATAAAAAGCATAACTAATTTGAATTGTCCAGACAATTGACACCATTACTGGAATCTCTCGCATAAAAAGTCCAATGATACCTGTATTAGACGATTGTGTAGAGTGGAAGTTTCTGGAGCCCTTGTTTTGTGTAGAAAGTTTAAATTTGTCTTTTTTATTGAGAAAACAAAATGCTAAGTTATATATTCAAACTCTTTCTGCTGCGGCTAATGTATGAGATTTCATCAATACAACTGGCGTGGTTATCTCTGATTTACAATTTAGCCAAATCGTCAGTCTGTGGATCATTATTGAGGCGCCTATGTTACGCTAATCTACTCTACCGGTTGAATGCTTCATTAGGGAAAACTGTTCAGTTATCATGACATGCTTTTAGTGAAACAAAACTGGAAAGTTGGGTTAACTTCATGAATAAAGATTATGCTGATATTTCGAAGCAACACTGAGGTCATGTGTCCTTCGAACTTCAAATAGTGTCTTCACAATCTGAATGACCTATCATTCTAGGGCGGTTATTTTATGACAATTCTCATTACTCGGTAATGCAGTCGACCATTTTGAGATAAGGCCTTTGCTCGAAGCGTGTCCACCTTGCATCCTATCACGCGAAGAAGCGGATAGGTCTATGCTAAATTGCTGACATTTTAACCAAAAAACAGGGCCATATAATTGTGGGATAAACTGCATCACCCCCTCCTCATCCTACTTCTTTGTAGCTTTCATGGAAGCTTTATGTCGCCTTTCAATAATATAAATCGCTCCCCATAACAGCCGTTGACACATTTAGATGGTCGATTCGCGTTCTCAGCAATCTATATCTGCGGCTCCTTACTTCTAAGGTTGGATCTGTGTTGATCCACTGCAATATCTTGCACCCAAACAGAGGCGAGCGTTTGTGCAACTTTGATATTTCTAAGAAAACACCTTTCTCACAAAGGCTATTGTATGGACAAACTATTTTGATCAACTTTTCAGGTGTTGAAGATGGACAAATGCTCCGAGTATCTGTTGGTGATGCGCGCAGATCACCACAAGAGCTCTTTGTTACGGTGCGTGTGGAATCAAGTCGTCTTTTCCGTCGCGATGGCGCTGACATTCACTCCGACATCACCGTCTCTCTAGCACAGGCGGCTCTGGGTGGTAAAATCCGCGTGCCTGGTATTTACGAACAAGTTCTGGTTACGGTAAATCCTCTGCCATCGTTTGTCTTCATCCCCTACTCTTATTTTCTCACACGACCTGATATCCGGCTGGAATCGAGGACAATCGGCCGTATTTGGACGACATGTCTGACATGCCGTATACCCCGCAGGTCTACTGTTCTTTCCCTGACTGGATCGCAATTTGCTTAATTCCAATTTACCGACCGGATCCGCTATTTCTGTACTGGTGCGATACTGACTGAAGTTGTCAGTCATAGCGGCTCGCATAATCACACGTTGTGACCCTCGTCTGTGGTCATAAGCAGGAGCCGTTTGTCCGTTTGCATTGCACTGCCAGATATGGGCGTTATCCGCTTTCTTATTTCAATGTCAGTGTGTATGAGCTACGGTGATTCGCTCGGTGTGGAGACAACGACAGAACATCGCGATATAGTCTCGTTAGTGATATATCTTGTCCA